GCAATTTGTCAGATAGATAAAACAGCAACAGCAACAGCAACAGCAGCAGAGGCAGCAACAGCAGCAGAGGCAGCAACAGCAGCAGAGGCAGCAAAAGCAAAATCAACCACATGGCAGTGATTTATGCATAGAAATCCCCCTACTAAATTAAAACCATGGGCATCCAAAAAAGTTTTGGGGCAGGCAGCTGTTTAGTTAGCTAGTTTCTTGGCCAGTGCCAAAAAACATTTTACCATAAATATATTCGAGTCGAAGCAGAATATTGGCAAAGCGATATGACAAATGTAATACAAATTTTCGAGTTTCCTATTTAAATCTTTAAACCCTTAAAGTAGTGCTATTCAAAAAGGGTAACTGCCAGTCAACCATTCTATATTATAATAAAAGATTACTTGTTATTTATGCATATTTAATATCTTTGAAATTAACAAATGAACGCTTTTGGCCAACGGGGAACGGGGGAGCTCAGTTCTGTTCGGTTCGGTTCGGTTTGGTTTGGTTCTCTTTGGCTCTGCACGGTTTCAGCTTCTGACTAGTTATTATTAAAACAACGAACGTGTTCAAATTTATAGCCATATTATTTGTTATTTATTTAAGCTATAAATATGCATATGAAATAAAGAAATGGCAGCAGGTTTTTTACGACCAGAATACCCTCAGCGAATGGCAATGGGGATTTACTTATTTATTTTATTCTGCTTTCATAATATGAAATATTCAAAGGAAACTTTTTATTAGAGATGGATTCTGCAAGAATTATATTTAATTGTTATTATTAATTTACTCTTTGAACATTTAATATACATTTTATTTATTATTGTCTACATATTTAATGGTTGCTAAGACTTTAGAATTATTGAAATCATATTGCTCATATATATATCGAGGCAGGTATATAAAATATCTGAACTATTGGCATTATGTAAGACTTGTAGACTTCCTGAAATATTAATGCCCTCGAAGTAAATTATAACAAATTTGCAATAAATTTGCATACTTTTTACTTGATTTATGATAAAGTTAATTTAGTTGAAGCACTTTTAAAGAGTATCTAACAGTTCGTATTGCTGGTTTGTGTTGTTGTTACGAGCAGTGACTGCTGGTGCTGTTGCTGCTGCTGTTGCTGCTGCCACTGGTTTTCTCAGTTGCGTTATTTATATGGTCATAAATTTGCAGCTGAAAGCAAAGCCCTGCGAATGGAATGGCATGGAATACGACGACTTGGTTACGGGCACAAATAGTTGCACATACAAAAACATGGCTCGGTAGCTGCTCGGTTCCATAGACCACTTCATGTATGTATGTAGCCCATAGTCGTTCCGGCGTAAGCCTTGACGCTTCGCTGCCTGCGCCGCCTCACGTGCAAATGAGCAGCAGCAGCAGCAGCAGCAGCAGCAGCAAAGCCGCTTAAGGACCACGACATGGACATGCCAGGAGCTTAGCCGACTGCGGTTCGCTGATTTTCAATGCGAATGAGTCCTGATCGGACTACGACCAGTTTCAGTCTCAGTTTCAGTTTCAGTTCCACTTCCAGTTTCAGTTTCAGTTCCTCTGTGTGTTCGCTGTGTGAATGCTCATTTTGAGCTCGTGTGTTAGTTACATAATTTAACGTTTGCTGCGAAACATTTCCGCTGAATTTGAGGCATACACGCAACCCCAAAAGGGATACAACTATTTCTTTATAATCAGCTGGGTGTCATCTCATAAGGTCATCGCCACACGCAATCAAAAGTCGCCCAGTTTGTTGTCCACATTTACGACACAGTCACAAAGTCACTTGCTTTCAGCTTTTGTGGAGTCGCATTCGCAGTCACAGTCACAGTCGGATTCAGAGTCATAATCGGAGTCCGAGTCGAAGTCGAAGCCACCCCACATTGACGAACTTGTGTCCAGCTGCTTATCGGCGGCCGTGCATCGCGCATAATGTGCGCCGAGCACGTCAACGGTCCGTCGCTTGTAAACAAATTAGAAGCGTATCCTGGCCGGAAGTCCAGCACACACTCACACACACGCAAACACACTCATTGGACAATGCCAGCCAGGAGCAAGCCCATCTCGGGCCAAGCGCAACGCAGCAAACAAAACTCTACCAAAAAAAAAAAAAACGGCCAAATGAACCGTCAACTTTCCCTTTTTAATATGCCGCCAAGGGGCATATTAACTTTGATCAAAAGCAAGCCAAGTTAACTTGAGTACTTAATGAAGTCCTTGCCTTACTCCTACCAGAATAAAACAAATGATTTTTTAATGTATTCTTTTTTTTTACTTTTAATTTTTATAATCAATCATGATTACAAGCATCATTTAACGCCAAGCAAATCACTTGTCTAAAAATAAAATTCTTTTACGTATTTATAAATATATATTATATATATTTGTATCTTTTGTATGAATAGCAAGTGTAGCCAAGAAGTCGTTTTTGGCCAGCCAAAGCAGAATTCACTTCATTAATTTCTTATGCTACTTTGTTGTCCGACTCTGCTTTGGTCAACAATTTTCCTCAACGCTTTTTTTATTATTTTATTTTTGGTTTTTGTTTTCTGCTGAACTGCGGAAAAGGCGCGAAATTTGTTTGTCTAACTGTTCTCATTTTGGGGGGGGTAATAGGCACACCTTGAAATCAGTTTGTTCTGCTGCGGCTCTTTAAGCTGCAATTAACTTTGCTGGCTTAAAGCTGAACTGACCCAACCCAGTGACCAGCGACCAGCGACCAGTGACCAGCGACCAGCGACCAGTGACCAGCGACCAGTGAGCGACCAGTTCCCAAGCCCAAAGCATTCTCATCATAAAGCTGTAGCCTTATGCGCCCATTGCACGCAATGTTGCCTCGGCATTTTTTCATTATAATTGGCATTCGCCTCTGCGCTTAACTAATCTAACACAAAACGCAGCTCCCCAAGGGGGTTGCTTCAATGTAGTTGTTGCAACTTTGGTTGTTGTTCTTGTTGTTGGTGTTGGTATTTTCTATTGTTGTATTGTCATAATTTTGATTGAGGAGCCAACGCGGCCCAAATTGGTATTTTGTGATATATTGACTTTGTCACTGAACTGTCGCCTGCTTAGTCACTCGCTTTTTTATACACTTCCCCTCCTCACCCCTTGCTCGGCAATTAGAGACCCCCTTTTGGCCAGCGACCACATCTACATAGCAATTATGGTTTTATGGATCTGCTCGGAAGGGTTGTTTGACGCACTTTGTCATTTGTCCCTGTAGTATCCCCTCTCCCCCTCTGCTGACAGTATTTCTCTGCATATATATCCCTAAATAAAGTACTCGGTTATATTTTTATATATGCCAGACCCCTTCCATTGTGTACAGCCGTCAAGCACTTGCCTTCTGCTAACACCAATTTGTTCATTGATTTTGCGCTACAAATTAAAAATAATGTATCAACAAAAAAAATAAAAAAGGCTGAAATCGACGTAAAAGATAATTGGTTGACAATAAGACGACTGAACAAATACCCTTTTATTATCTCTGGAAGGTATTTATTAAAAATCACATCAAATAAATAGTAAAAGATATTTTTATAAATAGTGAAAAGTTTTTAAAAATAAAAAATTTATATTTATAAATATTGTTTAGCTATTATTAGTAGTATAATTAATTTTATAGCGAGATTCTTGTTATTAAATATGTAGCAAGTTTGAAAATAGTTTTTTAATGAATTATATGAAATGATCTTCAAATTTGTGATTAATATTTTTATGAATGTATTCTTCTTATACAATTAATTACAAGAAAATTTAAGTATGTTACTTGTAAACAAATTTGCAAAGTTATAAGTAATTTTGTATATATTTGATATATGCATTAAATGAACTAAATTGCCCATGCTTTGTGGCATGTCTTACCGCATAGCTGATGTGCTCAGAGTTCCTTCAATTGTTGGCTTTTTGCACTCGCATATTGTTGGCGATGTTTGATTGTGCAACTGTTCAACGCTGTCGCATTTCATTTCAAGTTGAGTGACTTCAATCTGTCGCCAGAGAGTTTCTTGAGGTCTTTTATTATTATTATTATTGTGAGCTGCCTTTCAATTTTCTGGCTGCTGTTTTCTCTTGCTTATTTTTTTACAATTCGCCAACCCCTCTGGCTGGGGTTGTGCATATGGCAGCATTAAAAAACCCACACGTACAATGTCCAAAGAAATTAGATGTTGTCGTTGTCGTTGTCGTTCTTCACGTTGTCATTGTTGTTATATGTTGCCCCTCTTCACTGCCCTGCTGCTGCTGCTGCTTATCGTGTGACATAATTCAGGCTAGGTGCAACGACGTGGACAATGAGACAATGGGCAGCTCAACGCACACGCCCACCCGCCGCCCACCACACAAACATACACATACACTCAGAAAGAGAGAGAGAGTGAGACAGAGAGTGAGAGAGAGAAAGGGGGTGAAGACAAAAGGCGCTCCACAAAGACGCATGTCGCCTGATGAGTTTCGTCGCTTCTCTGTGTTTTGTAATCCAGGACACGCCCACAAATTGCTAAGGCACATTATTATTGTCGTTTTTAATTTGTGTGCCCCCCGCCCCCGCCCCCGAAAAGGAATTGCGAACAGTGCCTGCCCATTGTTTGCAACACTTCAAACGTAAAAGAAAAAATACGACGGACAAGAGTCGACGCAGTTTGCAATACAAAATATTGCATATTGCTTATCATCCATCTTAACAGGTGAAACCTGTAATTTATCGCCCCTTGTCCACTTCTCGAGTGTTCTATATATATTTCTTCATATTTGAGTTTATAATATCTCTCATAAATTGTTTACTTTTTCCATAAAATTAATTAATTAAAATAAAAGATGTGTGCCATCTTCCAAATATAAATCTGAAAATTTCTACAACAAAACATTTAAAAACAGAATGGTTTTTTAAAGAAACATTTCAAGAACAATATTTTTGATTGGAGTATACCTTTTTTACTACTCGTTTTTATATATTTAAAAATCTGAAAAATGATTAAATAACAAAAATGATTTAAGTCAAACACAAAGTATTAGTTTTTCACGTATTTATTTATTGTATCAATAATAATTGTTTATTTGGACAGAACATTGTTAAAGTCAATCAATAAAATGAACGTAGAAATTATTAGCTGGTATAAAAATCGAGAGGTTGGTTAAAAAATAAGTTTTCAAAACCAAATTAAAGCAAAAAAAAACAACAAAACTGAAAATTTGTCAATAAGTCAAAAAGTGTAATGAATTGGTTAATTGAGATGTTGATTGATGAATGTTGTTAATACTTTTTTTTTTAAATAACTAGCATAAATTATGATAAAACTATGCGAGTTGTTGTTGCTGGTTGTTTGTTCTTTGTTGTGAATGTGTCAGTTAATGAGTTATGAGTGTTATTACTAGATATATGTATAATGATTTATATACCAATTATAAATAATTGTAAAAATAGTTATAAATCCATTTTGCAATTGCGAATGTTTAAAGTTTCCTCTTTTCTTTTAGAATTTTTCTTTGAAAATAATATCACTTTGTGTGAGAGCGAGGCAGACAGACACACACACACACACAAGTTCACTGTGGCAGCGAGAGAGCGAGATGGCATTAGAAAATTAGGCTCTATTTTGCTGGCTGTTGCTGTTGCTGCTGCTGTTATTCTTGTTGATGGTGTTGTTGCTGCTGCTGCTGCTGTTATTCTTGTTGTTGGTGTTGTTGCTGTTGCTGTTGCTGTTGTTGTGCGCCATACAAACCCAACAATTTTGCTTGGCTGCTTCCGATTTGCTGTACTCATCCAGAAGCTGCAACAAATATGATAACGAGTCGATTTTGGCAGTTGTCGAGAATGGATCGTTGGAAAAACGTTACTCACCCCTAGATCAAAGTCGAGTGATATGAGCTGCCTGGCCGGGGCATTGTTGTGGCACATGGTGACCAAAAATGGATAAATCACCGGATTAAACTGTGCCGACAGCTTGGCCAAATTCTTAAAGATCACCGCAAACGTATCCGATATGAGCAGATCCTGATGCCGACGATTGTTAACGCTAAAGAACGCCATCGATGCTATCAAATCGATCAGCATTGTGGAGCTCTCTCCACTCCTTGTTCCGATCACTGAGTTGGCGCTACAGTTGAGTATTCTGGTCATCACATCGAGCAGCTTCAGCGACAGAGGACCCTCCACCGTCAGCACCTCCTGCAAGCACACAAGTGGAGTGGAGTCATTTAATTGGCAACACAACAACAATAAACAAAAAAAAAAAAAAAAAAAAAAAAAATAAAGAAATGAAAAGGGCTACAAATATTTTGTGGAATCACTGTGCAAATGTTTTAATTAAGTCAAAGCAAATATCAAAGAGTGGCACTTGTTTAGACCAGCAGCAAGTGAAGTGCTCAACTGTTTGTTGTGCGTGTGTGTGTGTGTGTGTGTGTGGTGTACATTTATTTGCATAGCGGAACGGAAGGGTACGCTGCAGGATGCAGGACGACAAGGGGGGGGGACGACTAACCAATGGACAACAGACAAGAGACAACAGACAACAGACAATCAGCTCTCGCTTCTAATTTGTTTGCATTGGCAGCCGTGCGAAGGCGAGTGTGGCGAAGGACCAAATCACAAAAATGAGAAAAACAACGGCACTTACAGTGGGCACAGGCTATGAGCGACTCTGTACTTATAGTGTTGATAAGAAAGAGTTCAAATTGAAAGCAAATTCGATTAAAACAATAGTCAATCAATAATTATTGCTAATATTATGAAGAGATTTTCGGTTTTTAATGGAAATAGAAAAAGCAAATATAAACAAATTCAATTGTTTTTTTTGTTTATATCCTGCTAAAGGATATAAACCATTTCTCATTCGATTTCATTCAAATTTGCTATGGAGAAGGTTAACAAATTAATTCTTTATCTTTTTAGATTACTTTTCGTACGAGAATCTTATAAAATTGTCTCAAATAAAACTAAATTATGACTTAATTTAACCAAGTCAAATTCAAAGATCAATTAAATGGGAGACAAAGTTGACATCTACAAATCTGAATTGGAATCTGATTTAGCATTTAAGAAATTAAATGATTTACTAAAATATAAATGTCAAAAAGAATTCCCAAAATTCTAGCTGCTATTGTTGAATTATTTCTGTCTTTTGCAGAGTTTTATGATAATCGCACATACTTCAAAACTCGGGCACAAAGTAATTAAGCAACCCTCACTAGACAATGACACGCACAACTCAAACCACCCTCGTTGCGCACAGTGGGCAATAAAAATGCAAAAGTCCAAAGCCCAAAAAAAAAAAAAAACACACAAAAGCAACATGAAAAAGAAATCAACAACTAAAACTGAAACTGGCAACTTGTACGAGCATTGAGCAAATATTTAGCTAAACAATTGACGTGGCTGGCTGACTAGCAGTGGATGGAGAGAGGTGGAGAGAGAGAGAGAGGGGTGGAGAGGGGGGAAGGGGGCCGGATGTAGTAGGCAGGATATGAGCGAGGATTTGTTGCATGGCTCAAAGAGCAAACGATGAGCGCGATGCGCGCGGCGGCATCCTTCAAAAAACAATCAGGCTACCAGTTAATATCTGTGTGTGTGTGTGTGTGTGTGTGTGTGTTGACTGTGTGTGTGTGTGAGTTACTGCCGCCTTTTGCTTGGGTTAAACTTGAAAATTTCATTTTACAAAGTCAATATTTGCAAGGCTGGCAGCAGCACTTGAACATTGAGCTGCTCTGTGGTTGTGCGTGTGTTTCTGTGTGTGTGTGTGTGTGTGTGTACGTCTCTCGCTGATTAAAACCAAATCAAATTATTTGCCAGCCCAAGAGTTAGAGATGTACACATCTATTTTTTGTAAGCAGCTAGCAATAATAATAACAAGGGCCAAAGATGAGTGGATGAGAGTCGAGTTGAGTCGAGTTGTGTCTTGTGGACTTTATCTATTTTTGTGGTAATTTAAAACAAATAAACTGGCTAGCCAACTGGCTGACTGGTGACTGGCTGGCTGGCTGGCAAGTTTTTGCTTAGCTTGGCCTAATCCCCCCAGCAAAATGCCGCTTGGCTGCATTTTCAGTTTCGCTGTTTGCGCAACAAATTAGTTTGTCAAGTGGCATACAGAGAAAAATTTGGTCAGTTAAATCGAAGATTTCTCGGCAAAAACTTACAACTAATATTTAGAAAACACTTTTTATTAATGGAACAGCAACAGAATTTAGAAATTGAGTAACAAGTTCTGGGTTCAAATTCGAATTATGAATTTGACAACGTTTCTTTTTCAGTGTAGAGCGACTACAACTTGAAGCTGTGCCACAAATATTGACATAGCACAGCAGGAAATGAATTGTAGACAAAAGCCAGTCAGTCAGTCAATCAATCAGTCAATCAGTCAGTCAATCAGTCAATCAGTCAATTGCTGTTTACATATGCCGTTTCATCAGTCAACCTCAACCTGCATATCTGAAATGCGTTGTGTTCTTGCCAACATGGAAAGTACAGTGTCAAAATATTTGTACACCCGCTGAAAACACAAACCCACCTAAAAACCACAGCAACAACAACAGCAGCAGCAGCAGCCAGCCAGCACCAGAGCTGCTCAAGTTGTTCTAGCCAAATGTCAGCAGCGGTTCAATGGCGCTGATAATGTTTGTCAAATGTCATTGCAACTACCTCCCCACCCCCGTCCAGCGAACCCACGTATGCAAATACCACCCAAGACTGATGACAACTGATGTCAGCTGTCAGGTGGCAGTTGGCAGTTGGCAGTTGGCAGGTGGCAGGTGGCATGTGGCAGTCATGACATTTTGCCAATATGCAAATTTCAAAAGGCTGCGTCGACATTTTCATCGCCTAAACTGAATCCTAACTTTTTTTGGCCACACTTTCTCCTGTGTCGTTGTTTCTCCTCAATTTTCTTAGGCGATTTCACGTGCCACAAACTTCTCAAGTGCAAGGCAAAGAAAACCCCAACAAAAACAAAAACAAAAAACTCAAAGTCAAATTGAGTTGGTTAAAGATATAAATACTCTTTCAGATTTATGACATTTACAGAATAGCGATTCTTAAAAGTCTCCTAATTAAACTGGGTAAAGCGACGAGGAATCCTCAATGCACATCCTAGCAGAGTGTGTCGCCTTAACCAGGAAAGGATGAAGCATTCTAGGGATGCATGTTCTCAAGCTCTCAACCCATTAAAGATTCTAAAATAGGCTCAGAAGGATGCACTATAGATCTAATAAGTCGCAGTGCAGGTACCCCAATAATAATAATAATAATAATAATAATAATAAGCAAATAAAGCATATTAAACATTTTTGATAAGTCAAACTTAAGATTGGATTTGATCAATGCTTGCTAGACAGCTTAGCTATCTAATGTTCTAATAGTTTTAGAGCCAAATATTTATTTGATTCATTTGGTTAGGGAAAGAATAGACTTGCACAGATTTATGCAATATATTTATAGGTTCAGCAAGTTGATCCAATCTTGCAGGCTGTGTGTGTTACAAGGTCTGTTTGGAAACTCGACTACTCAATGCAAGTGTATCCGTTGGAGAAAAACTTTGACATAATGAAATTTTCAACGACTGACTTTGTGATTTGTTTAAGCGGCATTTGGCTTTTGGCATTTGCCCACTTGTTGAGAATGTTGAGTGACACAGATGGCGGAAAGGGGGGACTGAGGATGCCAGCGGGGGGGTGTTGCGTGGGCTGATAACTTACCTGAAAAGTGTTCACATCCACCAAGGCCAGCGACACGTAAAGACTAAAAGTCGATGCCGCCAAGGCGGTCATGCGCGGCGGAATGCATTTACCTGCAATAACAAAAAAAAAACAAAGAAGTTAGAGAAGAATCAGCAGCAGCAGCAGCAGCCGGAGTAAGCGGATATTGATAGATATATGCCATAAAAAATACAAGTTTACAATATTACAAAAATCAAAATTAATTTCCGCCAACGCTTAAAACTCACGTAGCGCTCAAACAAATGCAATTAGCACCCCGCCCCCGCCCCCGCCCCCGCCCACTGACCGCACCCCTTCCTTTGACTGACCTCATCCGGCTACTGTTCTCAATTTTGTTTTATGTAAGATCCGTTATAAACTTACCAGTGGGCACCACACAGCCGGCGAGCATTGAGACGGTGCCGAAGAGCTCTGTGGATTTGGCAGCGCTCAACAAACGTGTGGGATCAGCAGGACCTGCAACAAAAAAAAGGATATAGGAAGCAACATTGAGTTAATTAGTTTGATCCTGTTTACTTTGGCAAAGGTGAGAGTTGTGTTTGTTGTTGTTTACCTGGCGGGCAGACATCACTGAAGCGCGTGAGGAAGCCCAGCGTGGTCAGCAGGCTCAGCATGAGGCTCTGGTTTGGCTCAATGGGCTCGCGCACCTTCATGCAACGATGCGACAGCATTCCAATTAGTCCAGTGATCACCGCATAGCTGAGAGAGAGAGAGAGGGAGAGAGAGAGAGGGAGGAGAGTGGAAAGAGAGAGATATATTTATTAAGAGAAGTAATTCATGGCAATATCTACAATTAGCAAAGAACTTTCTTTCAAATGAAAGTCCACCAGAAATCTAGAAAGTATTTTTGGATTTTAAAAATAAATTCTTAATACACAACAAAAAACTGTTTAAAGTATAGATTCTTACCCAATATGAGAATATTGTTTTTACAAATATTTGTTTTAAAAATAACTTGCAAATTTCAGATTTATATTTCGCAAGAATTGCTTCTAAATTTAAAAGCTTTCTTTTTAAATGTTTCAAAAATCTAACTGGCAATTCTCAAAGAAAAACACTGATTTTTAGAATGCGAATAGTTTAAATTTTTCAAAATGAATTTCCAAAAATAATACGAGCTGATCCTGAATTTGCAGCGCCATTTCTTCGTTAATATATAAGATATAAGATAAAGACGACTTTTCAATGACTATATCAAAAGCTCATCATATTTTCACCTTTCTAGAGTGGCTCGACAAAAACATTGTGAATATAAATTAGTAATTTATTAAATCGAGTTTTCCCACTCAAAACTGCTGCGCTCAACTTGAACAAAAGTGAAATAAATGCATAAATTGAATCACCTACATTTAAATACATACACAATTCTGTGCCACTTTTAATATATGCATTGTGAATGTATTTTTTTTTGTTCAATTGCAGGGAAAGTAGAGTTGAGAGCTAATATCCTTCATATGGCAATCAGTGGCACGCGTTTGGCATTAAGTCTGTGCTCGAAATGCAAAAAACGATTAGAAGCCGGCAGTCGCATAAAATGTTGCTAAATGTTTGTAAGCAAATAAGGAATAAGCCCTCGGTCAGGACTTTTGTGACTGTGACACTGCATGCATTGAGCAGCTCAGAGAGCAGAGAGAGATAGAGAGAGACAGAGAGAGAGCAGAATACGAGAATTGTGCAATTTGTTTTTGCTGTTGTGCAAATATATTTGACAAGCATGTTGTGCATTCAATTAGAGACGAGCTTTAGCTAGTTGATTCCACAAAAACACTAAAAATATCAAAAGCAAAGATTTACCCCTCTGCTCTCCTTATATCCTTAAACCCCTTATTTTTGTGATTTATCATAATAAATGGTTGTGAGTTGTGAGTAAACACAAATCATCATCAATTACAAGACTCCCCTCCCCCCTCTCTCTCTCTCTCTCTCTCTCTGTATGTAAAGAGCAATCGTTGATTTGCACTCGACACGCCACTTGGTGTCGCCTCTCTCCACTCTCTCCACAGACTCTCCTACTCTACAGCATACTCTACACTTGTCATCAGTCGTCAGTTTGTGTACAAACTAAATGAATGGCATACAAATTTTTACTATTTAAGTGCAGAATTCATCAAACAATCGACTAACCCCAATACAAATACAAACGGATGCTGCAACTATGCCAACTACAGTGGTCACTCGCTACAACATACACATATTCATTTTGCCAAACTACTTTTGATTGAATCTTATGAACATTCTATAATTCAAAAGTGTTTAAAAAGTGTTTAAAAACTGTTTGTTCTCTTAACAAATATCAGTTTTTGCCAACTCAAACAAAAGTTTTTAATTACTGTCTAAAAAAATGGCAGTTTTTATAAGCGAATTTTTATAGACTTTTCTGCACTTTTCATTTTCTAATTTCTTTATTATTATGTTGCAAACAATTACAAATTCCACTGTGCAAATAAATGCTTGTATGCCTTGGATATATAGATATATATATATATATCTATATAATATGAGTGATTGATACGGCATGACAATGTGCGAGAAAAACGAAATAATAATGAAGCCAAATGCTGCCAAAGCAAACAAATATGGCCGACAACAACAGCAAATGCGGCCAGAAAGGGAAATATAGCATTTGACCCCTTTTGACACTGAGCCTTGACTACAAGCATCTAAGCGTGTGTGTGTGTGTGTGTGTGTGTGTGTGGCGCTCAAATAAAAGCGTCCATTACTCAAACTCGCACACATCCCCACTTGGCTGGCTGGCAAACAAAAGCTGGCCAGGCTACGTGTCCTGGCTGCGACTCTTGGCTGCTGAATGGAAACTGCGAATTGCGAACAGCGATTCCGATTTGAGGTGTGGGCTGTGTGTGTGTTTGTTGTGTGTGTGTGATGTGTGTGTGTTTGTTGTGTGTGAGGTGGTGTGGGTTTTAGAAATGATGCTTCTGATGCTCTGCTCTGGCGTTGTCAACTGTAAACATACTTGAGCTTCCTGTTTTGCTATTTGTGTTCGCTGCCACAATGGACGCACACTTAACCAACACACACACACACACAAGCACATACACCTAACACACACACACACACAGATTGAGCTGATGTTTGCTTGGGTTGGTTGGTTGGTCAACGTTCTGGCCGAAAAAGTACTCGGCAAACTCATCAGCACCACAAAAATATCCTTAATAATTTTCTTAAACCAACAAGCACAAAGCTGTGTGAAGGATGCTTTTACCCAGTCAACAGCAGAGCTCGTCTTCCACATCCCCTCATCCTGTTGTCTCCCTTTCGTACTGTCATCGTTTGTCATGTGTCCTGTGTGTCCTGTGTGTGTGTGTGTGGCGAGGACATCGCTTGTGCAAAGTATTTAGTTCGCCACGCCGGGGCGCATCAATCCAAACACACAAAATGGCCAACGCCGACAAGGAGTATCGGATGTGGCTGAGGTTTCCTTTACCCCGCCAACCATCCCCTCACACAGCATATTCCGGGAGCCACATAATCGTCACTGCCCGTAAAATAAACAGCAACAGAAGCAGCAACATCATCGCCAGCCGCTGACGATGGCGACAAAATAAAAATAAAATACGAGTGTCAACAAATTAGAATCGTCATAACGAACGACGTCATACACTAACCCAAAGTCGAACAAATTCTCTTTGATTATAACTTAAATATTGAGCTTAAAATATATATAAATATATGTATATCTATATATATATATATTAATTATAATCGGCTTATTATTGCTTTTAATAAAATGGAATATTTTGACAACATTTGAATTTTCCTTTACTTTTCTTTTGACTTTTAATGATTAATCCTTTTGAAGGTTTCTCGAGTGTTGCAATGAATAAAAATTAAATAAATTAAATATTAAATATTCTTAAATAAAATCATATGAAAGTATCCGTATATATATACTTTATAAAAGCTGATTTGAGTTGCGTAACTTTCTTATCTAAAAGTCAATATTACCCCACAAACATAGTGGAAAGTGTATATCATAAAATACGAGACCCTGGGCGCTGGACATGAGCATTTTGGATGTTGGTGTGAAAAGGCATTTGGTGGAAAGCTTGAAATAAAATAAAAATAGTGCCGCAAAAGGACGACGTGCAACAAACAGCAACAGCAACAACAACAGCAACGGCAACAGCAACGGCAACAGCAACGGCAACAGCAACAAAATTAACATCCTTGTTAGTTGTGAAAACACGTTCGCTAAATACGCGACAGGCGCTGAGCAACCCCGCCAGGACAAACCAGGACACACTGAAGTGTTGCGAGTGTGTTTTTTTATCTCTCTCTCTCTCTCGCTCTCGCTCTGTTTGAGACAGGCGCAAATATTTTAACAAGTGTCAAATGCACACGCTACTTAACTAAGTTGCTGCTCGACTATTTTATTTTTGCTTTTCCGAAGCATCTTTTTTTTTTGTTGTTGTTGGGAATTTTTATTTTGATAGGATTGCCGACTCACGTGCTCCACTTCACACAGTCAGAGTGAGAAATACAAAAAAAAAAAAATGAAGTATAAACTCAATTGATTAATAAACAAAACAGCAACACTTGCAAAAGTCCTCCAGCTCACCCAAGCCCAGTCGAGGCCAACCCCCGCTGACCATGTAATTTGGCCATTTGTGTGCATTGATTTCGGCACTTAAGGCGCATAATCAGGCATCAGCGGAAGCTGCAACGGCAGCCATAGCAGTTGTGGCAGCAGCAACCGGGACACATCAGCGGATTTGTGTGTTCAACAACAAGCAGCACGGATCGCTGCACAACAATGAAAGGCAGTGGCAGTGGCAGTGGCAGTAGCTCGTTGCCCGAGTCTGACAGAACAGGACGAGGCCGATGCTGAGGCCTGTTTGCCCCGCAGGTCCAGTGGCATGCAGCAGTATTCGCATCGGCTTCACGGCGCATAAGCAGGATTAAAATCAAAACAGATTTGCGTTGACAATGACAACAAGCAGCAACAGCAGCAGCAACGACATGTTAATGTCCTGCCCAGTTTAAACAACGGCAGGCAGGCAGGCAGGCAGAAACAAGTTGTTGATATGTGAAACGAAACACCTTGCCCGGCGCAACAAGGATCTACACACACACAGAGAAACATATATCTGACATGTACAAGGCGCGGCCAGCCAGCAAACTGAAAATGTCATTTCAAGTTGATTACTAGCAACAGGACCACGGGGTAATAAAGGATTTTGGGTTGGGGAACGAACTTAAATCGTTTTCAAATGAGTGACGAGAGTTTCGAGTTTGCAATTCGGGGCTTTTGTTGCCCCGGGGCCGCTTAACAAGTGCCAAGGCGGCGCACTTGCGAGTCCCTGCAACATATGCCACACCGAAACTAAACAAAATGGCTGACCGCCTGTCAAAGGGTGGAGAGACTGGGCTGGGGGCGGCATTAAAAAGGTATATGCATATTATAAGCAGTAGCAGATGTCATAAGACATGTTTCTAGGTGAGTAGTAGATGATTAAATTCCATAAAAAGGATCAAAACTAATGCAAAATTAAGAAGATGTAATTAGTTAAAACTTGTTGAATTTCGAATAGGTTCGAAAATCTCCATCTACGTCTTCTATATAGCATACAAATTTCTCTTTCTGTTAAGCATAAAAATTTCTTTGATTCATATACGATTTCTAACACCAAATAAGTAGAGGCTGCATCTATTAAAAATCTGTTTATCTTAATAAAATAAGT